AATATTTTAAGTCAAATAGGTTAGTGCGTTTAGGATAAACAGTCTCATTTTATTCAATTTTGTTGAAGAACTCAACTTTTGAAATATATTATTAATCAATGTGTTTCTACACTCCATTCGGTTTTCCTTCCTCAAAAATATTGCAATCAGGGATAGGTTAGTTCGTTGAGGATAAATAGTCTCTGAGTTTTGCCTAAGTACTTCGAAGATGAGATATTACGGTGGGCGTGGTTTGTGCTAGCGTACAGTATATTTAGTAAAATCGCAGTCCGGCCTGTTTTACTGTGAAAAATTATCAGATCTGTACGACTGTGAAGGATACTATCAGCTATAAACATAAGGACGATTCAAGCGATATACAAAGTACGACCATTTCAGCGGCTCTCTACTACACTCGACGACTTTGTTGACAATCAAACAGCTGGACAACGTTTTGAAGTTCAGGTATTTATTTCCATTATTGATAACGTACTGTCTGCTTCAACTAAACGTTTGAAAGCATTTTATAAAATTACTAGTGTTTTTGGGGTATTTCGACAGCGAAAGAGATTTTGGAAAAATCCTCAATAATGGTCAGTGCTCACACATCAGATGATTTGGAAACCAGCCTAGGCGACGAATTAGTGTAGATCGTTGAACTAGTCAAAACAAATGTGGGTATACTGTCATTCAGAAAGCCAAACAAACCTTTGGAATTACAATTTCATGAACGTTCATTGAATAATTCTTTAGAATCATGTTTCCCAAACATAGAAATTGCCTTGCGAATTTACGTGTATCTCTAACTGTAGTGGCGAACGTTTTTTTAGTACTAAAACATATTGACAATGAGTTGAGAACACGATGGGCCAAGAACGTCTCAATCATCTCACTTTGATAAATATAGAGCATGATTCGCTTGAAGAAGTCGATATTGAAAGTTTTATCTCTAAATTTGCCCATATAGGTATATCCAGGGAAGTTTATTTGTGATAGTTTTGTTTTATTTTATTCAATACTCTAAAGTTGATAGCCTAAAGCAAAACAAGGCCCCTTGATAGATTTTGACTACTTCCGAAAAAAATGCCCATACACATTTAATAATCTTCTCAAAACTGACGTATAGATGCATGAAAACTACAGGAGACAAAAACATTTAAAAACAAAAGAAACAACTCATTTCGTACTAGTGGCGCACCACAAAGAAGTTAATGGAGCGAAGAAGGGCCCTAGAAAAAGTATCATCCTGTAGATTGTTACAATTACTCGACATACTGTATGATTTGAACCTTGACTAAAAGTAACCTATATTTCAAATTTGATCTGAATATCTCGAAAAGTAAAAGAGGTATAAAAAAAATCTTGAAATTTTAACGCTCTGTAGATCGGTAACGAATCGTTTGCGGTCACATATTTATGGGAAAAAAGGCTTATTTTGATCTGAAAAATTAGGGCCTGAAATCTTGATACTGAATTTTGACACACTCACGGACCCTTCATTTTCATGAAAACTCGTTTAATTTGAACAAATTGACAACAAAGAAATTATGACGATGGGCATTGGCACCAACATTTAACATTCTTCCACTTCTAATATCTCGTGGAAGTCCATGTTCGCTCAAAGTAGAGCGGAATATTTCAAAGGAAAGAAGGAACGCTCAAAGTCATCTCCACAACTTTTATAATCATGTAAGTTATTCAGGGGGACATATTTCGAATTTATAAAAATCCATCTGCAGCCCAAACAATACAGTAAGTACGACAAAGAGAATCATAACATTATACAGAACTGGAGGAAATAAAACACTGGACTCACAAGGAATGAAGTTAAAATTTACTCTAGGTACCAGTGCCCATCGTCATAATGACGTCGAAAGAATTATAAACGGGTTCTCATGTAACATGAAGGGTCCCGTGCCCTAAGAAAGCCTTACTAGTTGATATCAAATTCCAAGTTCCTGGGACTGAGGGCCCTATTAACTTCTGAATAGGGCTGAAGATGAAATTTCATAAGTCCGAAACATGTCTCCTTTAATAATTTGCATCATTAAAAGTGTCGAGATAACTTTCAGCGTTCCATCATTCCTTTGAAATATTCCACTCTGCTTTGAGCACTCATGGCTGCTTTATTTTTTCTTCATGCACAGTGAAGAAGAGGATTTATAAGGTGTGATACTTTCGAACTTGTCACCGGCTATACACAAAAAATTGCTAAATGGTTTGAGATTAATGAAGAAAGGACCCCGTACTAAACTATAGGAAAAATGGCTCTCGATGAAAATCGCTGAATTTTTGGTATGTTGCAGACTCTGATATACTGAATAGATGTTCCATTGAACTAACATGGAAAAATGGACAGTTTTTCCGATATTGACCTCCAAATGTTATTTTTTCGAGAACAAAAAGTATCTGAAAATGGTTGAATTTTTGGCATGTTGTAGATAGGAATGAACTGATGAAAAAATCCCATTGAGCTATCCTCCAAAAGTTGACAGTTTTCTCGATATTGACCTCCAAATGTAATTTTTTTCAAGAAAAAGAATTTCTGAAAATGGCTGAATTCCTGGTATGTTGTAGTTAGGATTGATATAGGAATGAACAAAAAATTGACAGTTTTTTCGACATTAACCTCCAAATCTAATTTTTTCGAAAAATATTCTATGAAAATGGCTGGGTCAAGTAGGTTTGTTGTAAATATGAATGAACTGATGAAAAAATCTCATTGACCTTAACTCAAAAAATTGACAGTTTTACTGCTACTGACCCCTAAATGCATGGTATTCAAACAACTATATGAAAGTTGACCATCAGTACACAACACTCCACTCCTACTGTGGAAATATATCTTTGATTCTATGAAGAATTTGGAAATATTCTCATTGGTTGTTGAACAATAAAAATCTGGAAGTGTTTATCGGTATCGGTATGTCGATGTCACGTCATCGGCGGCTATAGTGTTGCTGAGAGGTGATTTTTTTCATTATTTGAAAAAAATATTTGGTATTATTTTAAGTAATGAATCAGTGTATCGAATACTTTCATAATAGATGGAATGATCAAAATACGATAAATATATGGCATAAAGATAAATAATATACATTTCATTACGTCCTCTCAACAGGAACTTTGTCTATTGATTATTGTTCCATTCAACTTATTTTCCATACGTACATTCGGAGGTCAATATCGAAAAAATGTAAATTTTTTGAGGTTAGATCAATTACATTTTTTCGTCAGTTCATTCCTATCTACAACATACCAGAAGTTTTCAGAGATTTTTTCTTCGAAAAATTTTATTTGGAGGTCAATATCGAGACAACTGTCAATTTTTGGAGGTTATGTCAATTGGATTTTTTCATCGGTTCAATCCTGTCTACAACATGCCAAAAATTCAACCATTTTCAGATACTTTTGTTTTTTCGAAAAAATGATATTTGGCTGTAAATATCAGAAAAACTGTCCATTTTTTGAGGTTAGTTCAATGAAATATCTGTTCAGTATATCAAAGTCTGCAACAAACTAAAAATTCAGCGATTTTCATCGAGAGCCATTTTCCCTATAGTTTAGTGCGGGGTCCTTTATAAAATCTCTCTATATCACCCGGTATAAATCGCTACTTGATTATAGAAATATTGATTAAGGTAGACGCAACAGGATGGATGTGGCCACCGGTAATTTTTGCTTTGTGCTCTGAATGTGGTCACATGATAAATAATAACACATTCCTTACCCCGCCTATTTTCAATGGGAAAAGAAAGGGAAAGTTATTCTTTTTCCCATGAATCCTCAACGTCTGTAGCAATAATTATTATGCATTTTTTATTTTATCAATTAGTTCTACAAGGTCAGTCCATGAACCGTGAACTGGCCAGACTCGATAGTATTCATTTAATTAGGCTATCAAATCTGATGAGCAAGAGTATTCAACATATCATCACCAAATCCTCTCTAATAAAACAAAAAGCTAGATAGTTATCTACCTACATTAGATATTCGAAAAAAGACTTCTGAAAATAAAAACGTTAGCTAATGAGGGTCTGAACAGCCAAAAAAAGCTAATGGATGCAAGCAGAATTCATCTGAAAAAACTTGCTATTATATAATTTCAGATTCCATGGTTTACCAGATACAAAGATGCTTTTTTTATAGAAATTTTCTACACTATAGTGCTGCGTTTCTTCCTTCCAAAATTGTTAGTACCTCGTCGCCTGAGAAGTGAGAATTAGATTGGTTGATCCAGGGCCGTTCCTGTGGTAGTGTGCGCCCTGGTGCAAACGAGAAATTGCCGCCCTTTGTGGAAACAAAAAAATTCAGATCCGAAATTTTACAATGTTTATAATACTACCATTCTAGTGACGTCAAAATAAAAAACTCAATGATATAACAACGCAATTTTATTATACATTATACATACTTTTATATCAACATAAATAAATGTAATCTGGATATAAAACTGACCAACACAAAAAAAAAACTAAAAAAAGTATTACAAGGATAAAAAATCATAATATAATTAGTAGAAATCGACTTTTCGCGCTTTGGCATTTGCAAAATCTTTGACAACATCATTAACATTTAATGACTCACATATCTCATTTTCTATAGAAATGATTGCTAAATTATTCAATCGCTCTTGAGACATGGTTGTGCGTAAGTAGTTTTTTATCAACTTTAACTTTGAGAATGAGCGCTCTCCACTTGCTACGGTGACAGGCAGAGTTAACATAATTCTCAATACTATGGCTAAATTAGGGAAAGTACTCTGAAGAACGTTACTTAAAATATATTCTAGAACACTTTCAGGTGAATATACTTCTGAGACATTAATGAAATTTGTGATAATTTCAATTTCATTGGAAAGGTCAAGTCCTATGACATCTTTTTTACAGTTATCATCATTTTCATCAGATAATTTCTGCTCTAACTCACAGCAAAATATTTTCAAATCATCTTTTGTCATTTGTGTCAAATTCCGAAAATCGCTCAAATGATAGAAATTATTTGTATAAGCCTGAAACTGTTCAAACCTCTCCACTAAAGCATTTGACGCAGTGTCTAGTACTGCAAAAAAAATTCACCTTGAAGCTATTTTCCGGACTGCTGATACTCTCATCATCGCCTTCATAATCAAATTGTCTTTTCTTTTTTCTTCTCCTCACCTGGCTTTCTGAAGGAAATTGATTTTCAATTCCAAGACATTTGGCTAACTCAGATGCTTTATTTAAGGTTACCGTAAAATGTTCATCTGTTCGAAATGTTGATATTATTTGTTTCAGTTTACTTAAGTGCTCTACTGCAACGTGTAAGTTAACATTAACGCCTTGCAAAATCTTACTGACAACATTGACATTCGATAAAATGTCGTACCAAATAACAAGAGCGCATAAGAATTTGTAGCTCCGAATTTTTTGTGATATACATTGTGCTTGATGTTTAGTTTTCAGATCGAAATTACTGTTACTTCCATCACTATCAAAAATTTCTGACAGAGCGTCATCGACATTCCATATTTCGTAACGTAATGGTTTTAAAGATTCAATACGGCTCTCCCATCTTGTATCGGACAAAGGTTTTAAAGTAAAATTTTCAACATTTTTTTTTAGAACAGACCAGCGTTTAGTACTAGATGAAAAAAAATTGTATAGTTCTTGGATGATGCCAAAAAAGTCAAGTGTTTCAAAGGATATTTGACAAGCATCATTAACAACTAAATTTAGAGTATGTGCCGAACAAGGAATAAAGAAAGCTCTGGGATTAATATCCAATATTCGTTTTTGCAAACCACTGTGTTTGCCTTTCATATTTGCGCCATTATCATATCCCTGACCACGCATGTTCATAATGTCGATATCACAAGCTTGGAGAAAATTCGTCAAAAACAAAGTCAGGCCTGCCCCTGTTGTATCATGAATTTCACAAAATCCCAAGAAATGCTCTCTGACTTCAACTTTTTGAGTACTTTCGTTAAATATTACTGACCTAAATATTATAGTGATTTGTTCTTCGTGAGCAGCATCCGGTGTACAATCTAATATTATTGAATAATATTTAGCATTCTTTATCATTTCGATAATTTTAGATTTGATACTGCCGCCTAAAATATGCAAAATTTCGTTCTGAATTTTATTACCTAAATAATGAGGCAAACAGTTTTGATCATCTTGTACGCGTCGAATGTGTTCAGCTAGTATTGGATCAAACTTGGCAATAGTTTGAATAAGTTGCAAAAAATTTCCATTGCTTTTACTATACAAAGTTGAACTTGCGCCTCTCAAAGCCAAGTTTTGTTTTGCCAAGAATTGAATACACAGAACAATTCTTTCGAGAACATTATTCCACCGTTTCTTTTCTTGGTCGAGTAACTTTTGATGATGAGCATCAACAGTTTGGTTTTCACATAAGTTTGTTTTCAACTCTATAATTTTTTTGAAACACTGAATGTGTGATGCACTGCTTTCATGGATCGTGACGTGTCTCGATAAATGCTGCCAATCGCGAAATCCATCTTTGACTAAAGATGCCATGCTACCACTTTGAGCGAAAAGTTTACAGTGGAAGCAGAAAACTGCGTCTTTTTCAGTGGAATATACCAGCCAATTACGAAGTACAGACTCACCGTTATGCAATCTTTTGATGTAATAATTCTCTGAAAAAGCCCTACCGTGGTTATCTTTAGGAAAAATTACATTCCTTACTTGACAAGGACCTTTCTTCACGATTAATATTTTCAAATTATCGCTAATGATATTTGGCCACTTTGCAAGATCATAAATTTTTTTAAGGTCAATAGCACAATCATCATGATAGTCTTCAGCTTCAACACTATTTTCTTGTACAGACACATTCGCTCTGTCTCCGTCTTCGACAGCAATGGTTATGTCCGCATCTTCCGAGGTAGGATCGGGCTGAGACTGTGATGAAGACCCTTCTCCATCGCGACTACTGCGAGGTCGAAAAAAATTTGAAATATCTGAAGTCAGACTTTTCAGGCGTTCCTGTTTTTCCAGACGTTCTTTTCTGTATTGGTAGCCTGATAATTTTTTTCTCTTTTCAGACTCAGACATCTAAATAAAATAAGTGAAAATTAGTATCTTAGTAACGAAAAACATTTAATGTATATGAGTATATTTTCACTCACCTTAGCAGCTCAGGCTATTTAAATTGATTATTGAATCACCGAACTGTGAAATAGATAACTTTGCACCCGTGTATCACGTACCAGTACCGCCCTAGTGCGTATTATGAATGTATTTGACTCCAACACCACGTTGATGATATTTCTACATCATGTACATATCCCCCCTTCAAATTTCCAAATCTTCATTTTTTTAGAATGACAGGACTCTAATTTCCATCGAAAAATTGCACTATAAAAAATGCCGCCATACATTTGGCGGTGAGATAGGGATATGCTGTGGCAATAGTTCCAGATATAGAGTCGGCGAGTTCAAGTGTCGGCGACTTCTTTGAATTCACCGACATCGGTGATCGGACCAAACACAGTGGCGGGGCGGCATTGTAAATACAAGGCGGCTGTGATATGGAATATCACGGCGGCATTGTAAGCGCCGCCGCCGCCCTTCTTACCTTGCCGCCCTGGTTCCTCGCACCACTTGCACCCCCGGGTAGGAACGGCCCTGGGTTGATCTCCCACAAAGTTAGTTTCGCGGAAAAAAGTTTCAAAGTTTGAACGGCCAAAACACTTTTTTTACCAAATTTCCGAAAGTGTACTGAAAAATTTATATTTATTTTACTCGAAGTTGGCGATTTAGGTGTGCTTATTTATACAATGACCGCCATGAAATAATAATAATAATAATAATAATAATAATGAATCGTCTTTATTCATCATCATTTGCAGAAAAGAAAATAGCAGAACAAAAAATCGAAGAGAGATATTTTGCCAAACCTTATACCTATCTGCAATGGCGAATAGGGAGATTATCAGCAAAAAGCTGTTTCTCAACTCAACCTCAGGTGAGTGAGGGAAAAAATCCGATACTGCAGAATTGCAAAAAATATTCTCATTTTATTTGAAAGAGTTGCATTAGAAACAATTTTGGAAAAGCTATTTATCCAACACATGACAGTTATGACTGTCATTATTAATGTCATTTCAGACAAGTAAACTATCAAATAACACACTAGTGTTATAATCCATAACTCACTAGTGAGTCACGTATTATAACTCACGTTCATATTTAAAGTAGTATTCTATTTATTTATTTATTACTATTACAAGCAGGATTCACATTGATATTGAGATTAAAGGAAAACGCCGACGGCCTCGGGCTGTTACCAAGGAACAAGCTTTCGATTGCCATAAAATTATCTCGTCTATTATCAATGTCCTAGGGATATTACATCTGATAATGTCAATTCTCAATTTCAGAGGATTTTGATTTTTCATGCTCCCTTTTTGGATATTCAACAGATAAAATTCAATGTTCGACGTGGTAAATAGCCAGGAAAGTAGTTGTTTTCTGTTGAATATTCAGAATGATATTATGTGCATGTCTTTGTATGAAGGTTAATGAAAATACTCTACTTCAGAAGATTTTGTTTTCAAATTCTTATCGTGTGTGTTCAATAGATGTAATTCAATGTTCGTCGTGGCATATAGATAGGAAACAATATAGTTGTTTTCTGTTGAATAAACCGAGAAAGAATTAATATTTTCATCACATGGAGAATGCAAATTCTCAATTTTTTTCTTCATATATATAAGCATTTTTTTGTGATCATAAATATATCTGAGAATATTCCTTTTCAATAGCTAATCGACCCTCAAAAAATCATGTTTATTAACACGTTCATATTTCTTTTTGTATTCACCGTTATTCTCACATATAATATGAGTATAGTCGTATACCCACACATACTCACCTACATGGGGAAAGGTGTGAATTTTCTCACCAAATTTCATGTCATATAAAAGGTTCTTTTACCATTATTAGGCAATTAGAACGTGAAACCATTTGTTTGGAAGAATCTAATCAATTCCCAATTATTAAACTACAACCTGTTAGTTTTGAAACATTCTGATTTCGATGTTTCTCAGAACTTTCTTTCCGTATCATCCTTTGTCTTTTCTACAGTATACAAGCTGAGCATTGTTCACAGTCTCGTTTTCTACTAATTGCACGCGGTGAGATTCAGTTAACAGAGGTGTGTGGAAGTATCTCAATTGATAGAACTGACACAATTAGATACGACTAGCTGCCCGACCCAACTTCGCACGGTTGGTGAATAGTCCAATCAAATGGTATTTTCACTTGGAAAAAATTCAAGTAGTCGGTTTCTCTTTGGGTTCATATGTTTTTGGAGGTGCTGAATTCGAATCTGCGTTCCGAGATATTCGCAAAAAATAGCAAAATTTTGGGACATTTTTCGTTTTTTTGCCCGTAACTCGGAAATTATACGTTATATCGAAGAGATCGCCCTATAGAAAGTTAAAGTAAATAAGATTTCCTAAATATAATTGATTCTGCTCATAAATGTAGGACTGACGAGTGCGCAGCGATGAGAACCAGTTGAAAATTGACCAAATTTGCGTACTTTTCAAAAAATAGCGTTTTTCGTCGGTTTTCGCAGATAATTCCAAATCTACTCATTCCTCGAAGAAATGAACTATACTGCCTGATGTGGAAGAGTCCTAGCCATGTGAATTCTCACCTCTGTCAGCATCTAACTCATGACTCTCGACTTGTCACTGTACTTAAGTATATTCACATCAACTAGGAAGAATATTGTTTTTCTTACCTGCCTCTTGTTATTTGTTAACGAAGTAGAAAAATCAAGTTTCCTAGCAACGAATATCAGAAATGTCAGACATTTGAAGAAAATATAGTTAGAAGAGTTTCCTTCACTGTCGGCTATCTTCGAATTTACGGCGAATGCTTGTTATACGACGCTATACATAGTGGAGTATACTACGGCCTTGCCAAAAATGCTATCTCGGAAACTAAGCGAGATAGAGGTATAGTTACTTTGGAGAAAATGATCCCCATCGAATTTTGAGCAACTTTGGTTTTTGTGTGTGGTCTGTCTGTATGTCTGTCTGTACTCTGTGGTAATCATAAATCGATATATCTCCGGAACCCTTTGACATATCGACTTGAAATTTCGCCATCTTATTGTACTCAAAACAATATCATGTCATTAAAATATAAAGGAAATCGGAAAACTCTAAGGTGTTTTTTTCGGGTTTTTTCGATTTTTCACCGGAAGTTTCTTGTAACCACTCTACAAATCGCAATAATAGTGGTCCGATCGATTTCATTTTGTGTGAAAATAAAACTCTATCAGGAAGAGACGTAGCCTATTGAAATTGAACAGGGTCGGAAAATTCCAAGTGGGTTTTTCAAGGAGATTTTCCGAAACACACGGTTTGCTTTAAAACGACATATCTCCTGAACCAATAGACTAAATCCAAATTTGAAAATTGCACCGTATGCCTCTTTGATGACGCAACAAATTATTATATTACCATTTTTTCGTGCATCCATCGGAAAATGGAAAAACAAATGAAAATCAAAACATCAAAATTTGAAATATATATCGAAAACAAATGGAAAAATCGAAAATTATCAGAAGTGCAAAGTTATCCACTGGAACATTTCCTACAAATTATTACCCATAATTTTTTCTGTAAACCCAATAGTACAGGAAATAAAGTAAAAAATATGAGAAAAAAAATTTGAACGACCCATAGGGTACCATGAAGATATATTGAAAAACAAAGATTATCGATAGATGAAGCTCATCGACTTCCACTGAACCATGAAATATTGTTTCCTTTTGTTGATTGGAAGATGGAACAAAAGTGTTGAAAATTCTATCCTTAGATGATTTCAAATATTTCGAAAACAACTGAAAATATCTGAAAATGTTATAGAACCAAAATTATTCCTTTTGATAAAATCTACAAAAAATCCGTATAACATGTTTCTCTGAATTCAATAGTTCGGGAGATATGATGAAAAAACTAAAAAATTTACAAGTTCCTAGATGATCACTTGCCAAAAGAAGTAAAAAAAGCACACTCGACTGTCTTGATTTTTTCATATAAACTACGCACCTAGCTCACTCGACTGTCTTTATTTTTCGCTAATAAACTACGTACTTAGTTCACTGGACTGTCTTGACTTTTCGCCAATAAACTACGTACATAGCTCACTCGACTGTCTTAATTTTTTGCCCATAAACTACGTACCTAGCTCACTCAAATGTCTTAATTTTTTGCCCATAAACTACGTACATAGCTCACTCGACTGTCTTGATTTCCCACAAAGAAGAAATATGTTGGCATTGTTTAAACTTTCTTTTGTTTATGTTTTTTTAGTCCCTATTGGCAGTCGAGTGAGCTAGGTACGTAGTTTGTCTGGAAAAACCAAGGCAGTCGAGTGGGCTAAGTACGTAGTTTGTGGGAAAAATCTCCAGTTCTCTTAACTTTCATAGCGTCGTATACACATCTTTGGGGCCCAATGATAGTTTCAATATAAAAATATGCTCATGATATGGTGCCATGGCCTCTACAGTCTACTTCAATCTTACATGAGCAATGATGAAATATCATCTGCTTGTCGTATAAATTATCTGACCTCTATAATAATCTAATACCTAATGAAAACTACATCTATACTAATCTGATACCTTTCAAAAACTGCGTACCTCACTTGTTATAAACCTGCCTCACTGCAATATCAAAATACGAAAATTCCAGTTCAATTTTTTTCAGTTTAATTTTTTTTTGGTTGAGTTTCATATTCAAGCTATTTTTCTGTGGTCGAATATGTCAGATCGCCAGTGTCTGATATGTGATGAAGGTTTGGAGGATGGAAGGCCTACTAGAGTGGTGAAGGAGAGTGTCAGTCTCCTCTTGACCCATTTTTTTAGCAATAGCTCAGACGGAAGTGCTTTAGCTCTTGTTTGCTGAGACTCACTAGCTTACGAATTGTTGAAGAACTCTTTCCTTCTCATTCACCTGGAGTTGCTCAACAGTAGTAGGATTTTTCACTTCATTCCCATTTTCTGAGCTCTTTGATAAGGTGGCAAGTCCAGC